GAAATTTAATAAAAAATACAGAAGTTGTGGATAAATCGAACAATGTTCCAAGCAAACTACACGAGTATTGAACAATCGGGATCTGTGGGAGAAACAATGTGGATGCGCACATACACATTAACTTTAATATTGATAACCGATGAACAAAAGACGACTTTTGTTTTCTATACCTCGACGAACGTTTTTGTTATTCCCGTATATACGTATGTATATGCATGTAAAATACATACAAATAGTGAACGTGAATAGATTTTTGATACGAGTGAACACGGTGTATGCGCCAGTTAATTATGTGTAAATGATTTATAAATGATATTATAATATGAACGTATAATAATAATAAATATTATGTTTATTTATCAAACGCATCTATAATTTAGTAACAGGATTTAATCACAGTTTACATGCGTGTTTTGAAATTAATTAGCTAATTTATACTAATTAATTAAAAACACACATTTGTACTCAATAATTATTAATAATTAAAGTTAAATATATTAATTAATATATTTTTCATAAATAATCCTGAATATATTAAACTAAAAAGAGATAATCCTAAAGAAGAAGAATTTGGGAAAGATTTTACTTATTTATAACTAATTAAAATGGTTTACACTGAAATTGATAATGTTTTATAATTTTAATTAAATTCACATGATTGTGAAAGTAAAATTACCAAATTTTATTGAACTTTTTAAAAATGAAGTTGAAACTTTCTATAAATAATTGTGGTGAAGTGGAACGCTTTGGAGAATATGACATAATCTTGCATTTATTATGGGTCTAATGGTAACCATTGCACTGAAGAATCCAACGGAATTTGCAATTTCTGGCAATCTTCCAAATCAGTCCTCCGTAAAGAGCAATCATGTAATTCAAAGCTTCTGCTATATCGTTAACAACAAAAATATTGGATTCAGCTTAGAATCTTTAGGAAACTCCAAAATTAGTAATAAAAACATATTAAACTTCTTATATTATTGATAATTAATGAAATTAAATACATTTTAGAATATACTTTAGCTTAATTAATTGTATTATATGTTTTTTGTATATTAGTGTTGGAGAAAAAAAATCTATAAATTATTTACATTAACATATAAAAATATGAAAGATACATTTCAAAGTCAGATAATTATAACTAATCTTTTACTGTGTTCAGATTATGTGGATTTATAAGATTAAAATAAGTTTACTGGTATTTGAGTGTTGAGTATGAGCTTAAAATTAGCTTGTACTAGTCGACTTAGTTTCCGTATAGATTATGTACACTAATTATTGAAAATTAGCTAAGATATAATAATAATAATCCTGACTTCAGGGTGTATAGTGTACCCGAAATTAATTGAAAATTATCCGATAACTTCCGAAGAAACAACTTGACATATATTGTTGTTCTGGCATCACCCGTGGTAATTTTTAGCAAAAATTAATTAGTTTATAGGTTGCTTAAAGTTTTCAACCAGCTCGATAATTAATTATCTCGTGTGCCCGATCTGATATCGCCGCGGTTCTCGTCTTTTTATATCCTCGTCCTTGTTCCTCCTCGTTTCATTATATATATATATTATCCTTTTTGGGTTTCGTTGCTGTACAAGTCTTCACTCTTTTCACTTCAACAACGATTTTTCCTCAGGTATAATTAGTTATCAAAATATTCGATTTAAAATATAATTTGCGGCTTCAATATGTAAATTGCATTTCCGATCGTATAAAGAAAAAGTAATAGTTAAAAATATTTATTTATTGAAATAAATAAAATAATTAAAAAAAAAAGAGATGAGGAGTGGAAAGAAAGAAGTTAAATTGCTGAAAAATTGAATTTGCGCGACATGCCTGCCGTGTTCTCAAATATTCCGTTCCGCTCCGCTCCAAGTTTTCAGCAACTTTAATTTTATTATCGTCAAAAGAAGCGCCCATTTTTATAATAAGGAGGACGAACTAAAGTTCCCAATTAATTAATTGATTTCGGAAGTTTCGGGACGCAGAGTCGTGAAAGAAAGGCGGCGGAATTGATTTTGTTTCATTGGGGGGCGCACAGTGGTGGCAGTCGCCGCCCCTCAAACCCCCGATGTTTGTCAATTAATTAAATTAATTTCGAGACGCCTTCCGTTTGTTTATGTTAATCAACGTGATTGGAACGAATTACTGATTAACAAGTTAAAACTGAGAAGAAATCCGAACTCCTTCGCTTCTATATCTTTTATTTTTTGCAAATCTCTTTCACTTTGATCATTTGCAATTGTCCATGTTTTAATTAAATACGATTTCGTTTTAAACTTAGAATATATGTAGATTTGCTTAATGGAAATACAAATGAAATGCAAACATGCATACATCTAAATAATTCTTATGCATATTTTATTATGTGTACAATTTATGTAAACATATGCGTTTATATAAGATTTTAACAAAAGTATCAAATATTTTTAACGGGCACCAATGATTTTCATTATTATTAAAAAATATTTACATTTACTAGACAATAAATATATTAAAAAAAAAAGTTAATGTGCACATTTATCAAGTTTTTAAAACTATCAACATTTAAACATATACTAGTAAATCCACTAATTTAAATTATCCATTATTTTAATTTGTACTTTCTTTATTCAAGTGTAAAAATGTATAATTTCCATTGTATATCAATTGGGTGATGTGTACATTTACCAGTAAAAGTTTTCTTTTAAATAAATTCTAGTAAAAGTATGTATAATTTCCATTAAATTCCTTTCAGTTAATTAGTTGAAATATTTCAAAATAATAATACTAAACGTAATTGCTTGAAATGTGTTACGTAAACAAGATTTATAAAAAAAAACAAAGTAATAAGTAATCCAATTATCACGTGCACGGCGTTACGCAACGCACGGTAATAATAATGGGCGTCGGATAATTTTCATTTAGTGATCGATTAATTTTCAATTTACCCCGAAGATAATAAGTTATCTTAGGGTTGGGAGAGCAGCGTAACTTCTTTGTCTTCGTCTTTCTCCTGTTTTATTATTTGTCTTCTATTTTACTTTTTTTTGGTTATCCTCGCTGATATTTTTTTCCCTATCTAAACGCTTTAATTACTCGGCGCGTCGAGGCTCAAAGTTCCAAGCATGGAAAGAGAGAGGAGAGAAATAAAAAAGGACGAACTGAAATAATAAGAATAAAAAAGAAATGTATGGAAGGAAACGCGAACAAATTGATTGAAGTGAAATCCATTTCCAATTTCGATAATTGAAACTATGATTGTGCCCTGTGCGGCTTATGAACAATGGCGGAACTACAATTCCAATGGGGAGGGGGTTGTCAAATAAAAATTTGCTTAAGGCAGTCAAATAGTAAAACTAATTGGTGTTTAGGACCCACGATTTTTTTAATGTGGTCCTCCGAAAACCGACAGTCTCCACTCTTTTATAATCTAAAATATTACGTAATTAAGTAATATTTTGAAGTGCGACAAAAATTTGAAGTTCCGCCACTGGGCTTACATAAATATTCTGCTAATTGATATGGTGCAAATATTTTTTTTTTGTTATTGAACTGAACACATAATTATTTATATATTTATGTGTGCACTATTATATAAATATTAATTATAAACGAAATTATTATATAATTACTCAATCAATTTAGTTCCGTACGCAATAAAAATGATTTTTTTTTTCTGCCACACAAATAATTTAGTTGCATTTAATAACATGACAAATTTTTATATATTCTAAAATTCAATTCAAATGATTTAATTGGATTTTTATTTACAACTATCACATATAAATATCAAATATATTGAATAACTAATAAAATAGATTGATTGATTGCTTTTTTTATTTAATTCTAAAATTGTAAATATAAATAAGTATTTAAAAAAAAATTATAATTCCATAATTAATACATCATTCATATAACTAAAAATTTAATAAAATAATATTTTTTTGATAGAAAAATATTATACATTTAGTTACATAATATATTATTATAATAAAACAAATTGAACAATGTGATATCGAAATACGGTTATTCGTGTTTATAATGAAATATGAAATAAATGTTTGTAATTAATTAATTTATGTATTTCTATAACAAATAAATACTATTATAATTATCGTCAACATTGTGTGCTTCTAGTTTTACGCATTATTTTAATAAATATTATTATTATAATTATCTTTATCAAATTAATTTTGTTCAGAATAAAGTTAGTTAATAATTAATCTATCAATTAGAAATTTTATAGAATTAACTACTATAGATTTGTACTACTATTACAATTAATATACCTTGTACTACTTATATTAGTTTATATTTGTTATGTAACAAGTAGTCTCTAATTGATTTTACTATAGGTTCTATATGATTTTTCGCAAAATCTGCAGTTATCAGCGATAAAAGTGAAGTCGGTGTGTTCTGCTAATAATGAGGTTATAAGAAAGGAAACAGCAAACAATAGATAAGAGCTAAGCTCGGTCTAATTTCTGCTTAGTTTGCTTAAATGTTTCTCCGTTGCGGGGCTTGCTTCCACACACGTTCATACACACCAAGTGTGTTATACTAGAAGTATGAGAGAGAGAGGGACCAACACCTGATTATATCATTTGCATATGATGGAGTCGCGGCGTTGTTTCTGTTCGGGTGTAATAATAATTCGAGTGTAATAAACAGAAAGTTTTTTGACGTCGGAACTTGATGGAAGACAGAGCGCGACCTCCCGGAGTTAGTTTGAAAGTTGGAGTGCCGTAGTTTTCGGGGTTAATTATTATGAAGCAATTTGTCGTAGTCCTGACAAATTAAATATAATCAAGTTATTGGTGACTATTTAACACCCTTCCAACAATCGCATTAAAATAATAAGAGAGAGCGAGATGGAACGACAACGGAGTGAGGGAGGAAGGATGAGAGTGGCTGCGGCGACGGCGGCGGCAGCGGCGTCGCGACGCGACGCAAGCGCCGCCGTAGGAACGACTGCGCGCCGTTGTCAGAATTCAAGCCCGGCCAGTCTTCAAGTACTCTTCATGACAAAGCCACAGCGTATCAGCTTAGTCGTATGCGTACTGTCAATGTGAGACAACGACGCGATACCAGTAAAAACTTCAAGAGTGCGAAGATTCTTTCTGCTGACTCAAAGTCGAAATATACCAGTGTCCTGATACAATTTTGACAAAAAAAAATAAATTTACAAAAAAAAAAAATTAATTAAAAATAAAAAGAAAAATTTCCCGAGGTAAATTAAAAATTTTGTTCTTTGCGGAACAAAAGTTTGTTTTTTTTTTCTTCTTTGCTTTATTCTTCTCTCTGCACTTCGAATGCCCTCGGGGAGGTTCTTTTAATTGGCGCGTTGCGGAGAGAAACAATTAACTTTAAAGACAATGTTTCTCTTTGCGCCGTTCGGCAGATTTTGAATTGAAGAGCGCGCGCAAAAAGCATATTTTTAATTTAATTTATTTATTTATTTTTTATTTTATTCAATTCTCGTGTTTGTTGCAGGATTCGCGCCGAGGAGCGACTGCTTGCAGCGATTGTGTGGGTGTGTGCGGATTGCTGAAAGTGAAACTGTTCTGAAACTGTGCTGGAGTGAAGTGTTGCCATCGAACAAACCATAGGAAGGAAGTAAGAACTAGATTAAGAACTGCTTCCTGTATCGGGATAAATAACACTCCTAGACCTAGATACAGAAGTTACGCGTGTATTGACTGACTATCGGCGAACTCTCTCCTCCGAACTGTACTGAACTTAAATCCGTCTTCTCGTCTTCTGTTGACGCGCGGACCTTAGCAAATACTGGAACTGGGATTTCGAAAATGTATATGTCGTGTTTATATTGCTTCAGTGTAGTGCAGTGATTATTCGAGTGTTTCCAACGTGTTTATATATAAATATATATATATATATATATTTTTATCCGTGCATCAGCCATGAAGACCCTTGGAGCCGCTACAACAACCTCTTCAGGTGTCGTCGCGATGACATTCTGCGTCCTGATTTTCCTGCAGCTTTGCACAGGTGCGATTTACTCTTATATTTATTTTCTCGTATTCAATAATTCACTTTACGACAAGCGCTTTTGTCAATTTGTTGTAGCCAATTGCATAAACGAACATGGTAATTGAATAATGAATAAATAAGCTTGTGTATCGGAACTTTACGTTGATCAGAAAGAACCGTGCTTTGGCATCAAGAATATTGGATATTCGCTTCATCTGGTAAACACGTAACGCACTGATAAATTGTTTTTTGGTCGCGTAAGGACCTTTTAGACGCAATTTAAGTGTAGGCAATAAATGACTGTCAAATCGATTTTTATCGGCAAGTAGGTGTCATTTGTATAGCTCCCCTCCATCTCAACAGGAAATAGAGATAGAAAAATACAAGAAAACAGAAATTACCATTCCTTGACATCAATTATTATTCTGACAAATCCATTAAGCGACTGCCACCATTCACGTCGCGAAATACTATTACAATTACCAAATTTCCCATGGCGTAATTAATAACTAAAATATTAAACGTCTCAGAAGGTTGATTCGGAATCAGGGCGATGTGATAAATAGCTTTCGGTTTGGTTTTGAAATATGATATTTCGCTGCTATAATTCTTTTCATTTTTTTTACATCCTCATCTTGTTATTTCATTTTTTTTTTCATTCCCATTGGGGAATTCGGTGGGTACATGTGTAAGTGTATAATGAATATAATATATGCACCCCCCTTTATTTTTTTTTTGTTTCATCCGATGTGTATTTATCAGAATCGGTTCGCGCCCCTCGCGTCAACAATGTCTTTTCCCACTGAAAAATCAGTTACCCCTAATTTATGTACTTGCATTCCATTCCGAGTGGTTTAGCAGACTGCGGAGCGAACAACCTCCTTCTTGCATGTCACTCCGCCTCTATTAAACACTCGTATATTTCCATTCTGCTCATTGAAATATTGCCTCCTTCCCCCATCGTAGCCTTTCCATACATATTTCTTGCTGTTTCTTTACACTTCATCCCCACTTGAAGGTTTTGCGAGCAGGGGACTGAAATCGTTCTTAGCAGCGTAACTTATCACACGAAGATTTAATAAACACATCAGGAAGTGATCGCAGTCATCCCATATAAGCCAGAGATGGATTGTCTCACATAGTTTCTTGTGCAAATGGAATTTTCGTATTAACATATTAACTATATGACTTGCACATTAAACTTATTTACTGGTGTCAGTTTCCAAGAAAATTGTGTCTTAATCTTACATAAACACATTTAAAATCATTAGAAATTTAAACGCATTTACTAATTTTAGTTTATACGAAAATAATGTCTTATAGAACTTATATAAACAGAAATTATTACAGAAATCAATATGAATAAACAAATAACAATGTATTACTCATATTTACTGATCACAGTATACACGAAAGTAATGTCTTAATTTTACATAAGTCAGAAATTGAAAGGCATTCATAAATAATAAATTATTATTATGTTTTTGGATTATATAATTATTGTTAACTGCAATTCTATTAATTTGTAAAGGTCACCCATTCAAACGTAATCGAAAGTACAGGATGTTTAACTATCACAAAATTGTATTAAATATGATGGAAAAAATCTATTTATTTTTTAATGAAATTTCAATTATTATATTTTTTGTGTTAATGCTGACGTGGTAGCATTAAGATAACAAAATGTAATTTTTGTGTTTATCGAATTTGACGGTGGTTACGGAGGTGCTGAATTCACCCCGTCAGTCGTGTAACTTGTCACGAAGATTTAATAAAGACATCAAGTGATCGTAGTCATCTCCTATAGGCCGGAGATGAATTGTGTTACACAGCTCTATGTGGAAACCTGGAACTGGAGCTCCTCTCATTCATATTCAATCGCAATATCCTGTCTACCTTAATATACATCTGCGCGCACACGTATATACGTATTCTTGGCTCTGTAGTGTCAATCTGGGCTCCTGAATTCTAAACCCGTTAACGCCAGGTCCTTAAAACTTGCTGCATTACAACGAATAAAGGATTCGATAGGCTGTACAAGATGAGGATGATGAAAAAAAAAGGACTATGTAGTTATATATATAGTAGGAGCAGCACGAAACAACAACGTAAGCTACATATAACAGAGATAGGCTACGTGCCTTATCTGAATGAAGGTCTGCTCATCGTCGGAGCAGTCCCAGATTCTTTCCAGGATTTCGCATCGATCGAAGCCTCTTAATTTGTCGCAATTCAATTAATAATTTGCGGCGGCGGTAATTCTGTCGGACTGGGCTGGGGATGGGATTTAGGGGTTAAATGAAATAAAAAAAAAAGAAAATAATAAGAAGTAGGAGATTCTTTACCGCGGGGTGTAAGTGATTAGAACTAGCGGAGCTGCTCGTAATTTGGGTCGATGTAAGCTTGTTCAAATATCACTCTGCATTAGCATAACCGTCTTTGCAGTCAATATCGGTTAGCTTTCCCGATTAAGCATTTCATTATAATAAGATGCTGCTCCGCGTCTTCCGGCGAGGGTAACAATTAATGTGAACGTTAAGTGCTCTCGCACCATCCGATAGCACGTTACGTGCAACCTCATCTTTAACGCCCGCTTTCGCTTTGGCATAAGCAAGTACAGATACATTACCATGAAACTATTTCAACGACGGTCATATTTTTGACATCAGATTTTACTGAAACCATACGTGACACAGTCATCAATTAATACTCAAATTAAAGATAAAATTATAAGCTTTCCAATACGCTATTTGTATAATTTTTAACTATCATGGTTTTTCAGCAATTAATTGTATAAAGTTGAAAATAAGTTTAGCTGTAATTTTAAGAGTTCTGACTGAAATCTTCCTGATAATTCATGAATTCATTAAACCGTATTCATTTGGTATAGCAATTAATGTCAACGTTAAGTGCTTTCGTAAAGCAAGTTACGTGCAACCTCATCATAAACTTTCGGTTCAGATTTAGCAACTACTTTAAAGCTGTTGCAACTATGAGTAAAAAAAAACAACAAGATGTTGAAATTTAACAATTAAATTTTATTAAAATTATTGTAACATTAATAATTTTTAAAAATTTTACATGAATTTAAATTTTAAAATGTTTAAAATAATTTGAAGTAATTAATGAAGAAATTGGTCATCAGTAATCTGTTTTTAACATCGACTAGTCTCTTGGTTTATTTTCAGCAAAGCAAATACAAATGAGCCAACAACACCGGAATATCAAATGACTCGGTGTATCTCTCAGAAGACGCATCCATCTCGTCGAAATAAGGATGGCACGTGGCGTGAGATATCCACCGAACAACGCGCATTACGCGCCGAAATTTATGAACGGCATTAAAATAGAGCGTCGTTTATTTATTTCTGCAAAGGGGGTGGCGGCAGATGTGGTGTGGTGGTGACGGCGGTTGCGGCGGCGTTCGGTAAAAATGCAAAGGTATTCTTCAAATCTATTAAACCGTTTACATTTCGCGTTGTTCGCGCGATGAACGCAATTTAAATTAAAATCATGATTAAAGTTTCCAGCCCTCCCCAATTTAAACCCGTATTTTACTTTCATTCCGAATGAATTATAAACGGACCGTTTAGCTTCGAAACAAAACACAGAAGCAACAGCAACAGCAACAAAAAAATAATTGTATGTATATAGAAAATAAACAAACAAACATGTAACAAAAGTATAAAAATAAATAAAATCAAACTCAGCAATAATGATTGTGAACGCACGATAATCGTTTGCGTATGTTTTATGTAATACTTCAAATAATAATGTAATGGTGGTGGCAAACAGTGAGTGGGTAAAAATCGGTTTATTTTATTATCGCATCAAGTACTTTTGTTGGAATTGATGGCGATACATTTATATTCCTACGTAAATACTGGATTGCAGTTGGTTTACTTTATTATTGCAGATTCACATTTTCAATTTATCCACCGCATAAATAAACAGGCCTGCATTTGTGGCCGAAACGTTCAAAACACTGAAACCAACAAAAAATAAAATAAACAAAAACAATATACATAGTATTTTCATTTAACGCTATTTTCACTCTGCTAATAAATATCAACTACATTGCTTCTATATTATTAACCCTCCGTGACTCGCGCGGCGTCTGTGAGACTTACGTACGTTCTTTGTACTGACTGACGATAGGTAAATGCATATCAAGCCATTTTAGAGTAGTGAGACGCCAAGCGAGTAGTGGTTTTATAATATATTACTTTACCATTTTTGAAAAAGGCTAAGTTTTACTAATCTGTCGAAAACAAGTTTTTAATTTAAAATCCGACTTGAAGTAAAATATCACAAATGTATGTTTTGATAAATTTTTTTTTTATAAATATTTTAATTAAAATAGAAAAAAATAAGAGAAAAATAATAGAATCTGATATAAAAAATTCATAGTCATTACAGAAAAATTATAACTTTAATTGCAAATGGTATAAATTTAAATAATAGAAATTATCGTATATTATTAGACTGTGAGATTTAATTGGGGAAATTTAACAATATTTAGCATTAAAATTCTATTAAAAGATTTCCAGATATAAAAATGCAAATTTCTTAATTTATATGACGTGCAGTAAATCGTTTGTACTAGTTTCAGCGCGATTTACTTAATGCATGTATTTCTATGTACTCTATATGAATAGTTTTAATTAAAGTTGAAAAGAAATTTTATATATATATATATATATATATACTCCGGTTAATGTACTTTTTCGTTTTTATTAATGGCTGATGATCAATACTGATATTCTATGTTTGATACACAACAAAACGCTACTTCTGGGGAAAAGCTTTATTGTGTTTGTAATTGTATACATGTATCGATAGGAATAGGAGGAATCAATTTGTTTAGTTCGGTAAATTGAGTTTAAAAATAGAACGGTTCGATACATTTCATATAATTGTCATCAAATTTGATGTCAAATATTTGAGGCAATTATTTTTCATCCTGCAAAATAATAAATAAGTCTTTCATCGCCATTGTAATTACTTCAGATGGAATG